ATAGTGATGCTCCAAAGTTGCACTTGAGTTGCACTTGCAGGCAAATGAAACCACCAGTTAGTGGAACATGAGTGCCTAAAAGCCTTTGACTTTCAGGGCCTACATGTCACAAACTTACTGCATATGCTCATTACTACACTAAGTAATGAGCAAAGAGCAGCTGCAATGGGTTTGCCTGGTCCCATAAAGAATCATACTAAGGCCTAATTCCTATATCTCTGAGAACCCCCTCTGAAAACTAAATTTCATGAATGAGGGAGGATTTTCCCTTCTCAACCTTTACAGACATATTTTCTACGGCTGATCTCAGTGCTGTTGTTTTTCATAGAAGATGTGAGGCACAGTATTGACTTCTTGCTGTCATTAAGTGTCACACAATGGTATTTACAAGGGAAAGGTGTCCTCACTATTTGCTACAAAGCCAGCAATTACATGTTCTAAGTACAAATGGACCATGGATGAGATAAGCAGCCATCCCACCTCATCACAGGACAGGTCAGTATTTTAGGAGCATCCTCCTTTTCATAGAAGATGTGAGGCACAGTATTGACTTCTTGCTGTCATTAAGTGTCACACAATGGTATTTACAAGGGAAAGGTGTCCTCACTATTTGCTACAAAGCCAGCAATTACATGTTCTAAGTACAAATGGACCATGGATGAGATAAGCAGCCATCCCACCTCATCACAGGACAGGTCAGTATTTTAGGAGCATCCTCCTTGACACTTTCAGGGCTTTTTCCTGCACAACAGGACATAGAGTCCTGTTCTAAAGCATAAGTCAAGCCTCTTGAGTTCTGCATTGCTGGGGGGACAGAAAAGACAGCAGGGACTGGGAGATGCTGAGACCCAAGACAAGAAGATTTGAACCACTAGTGGAGGGCAACACCCCACTTAAACTTTGTTTTTTCCTTTGCTTTGGCAGATTTCCCAAATAAATTATACTTTATCCTCAGTTTCTGAAAGCAACACAAATCCTCTACTTGGCTGTGATGTTTTTCTGTTTTTAATTGTACTCTATTAAATAAGAAGAGTTTCCATCTACGATGAAAGAAAACCAAGTTTCCAGTTACTAAATGCTTTTGGTTTCTGACTCCTCTGTAAGTACCTTATTTTCTCCAGTCATTTTCAAGATTTCAGGCTAGGATCACCACAGCTTCTTATATCATATTATTTTCCTACCATGAAGTTGTTTATGTGCATTGTTTACCCAACAGACATTTCTCTTTCACTTGGTATATTCATTACTAAATAATTCTGTGAGAAGATACAGGCCACTGATTTTTTGCAATTTGCATCCCCATACTCTAAGCTATGTTGAAAGCAAAGCTTTTTGGTCCTCTTGCTTTGGAAGTACATTAATATTTCTATGACCTTTACTAGATGGCAGATGAGAAGCATTAGGAATAAAATAACAAACAAACCAAAGGAAACCAATTTTTAAAATGCATATTTCTGAAAGAAGCAAGGGAAAAAGAATCTAGTCTAAAAAATATGAACTTTAGCTAGAGTTATGATAATTGTTCTATTGTATCTATTTTTTTCCATGTCAAAATGCTTCTCTATGAGCAATCCACTCAATATAATGCAAAAATGTATTTGAAGGGGTTTAGTAGCTATCCATACAAAAAATATATAGATACTATTTAAAGATATTTAGAAAGAAATAAAAGAGTCTAAGATATGATTATTTACTGTGTGCATTGAAGTAATCACATTAAAAGCATGGTCACTATACTAACAGCTACTTTACACAAAACGACTTCAAATCATCTAACTTCCAAAGCCTGCAGGTTACAAAGACAAATTCTGTGAAATAAGCTGCAAATGTAGTGACTTCGTGCACAGTAATTCCTCTGCTTTAGAAGACGATACTTTCTGAAGGTTTTAGAAGACTGTAGGAGGAAAACCAACTAGGTTCTACCCAGGAAACCATTTCTCTCACAGCAGCATTGTTTTTCAGTGGTTTTACTACACACCGGAAGCCTACTCTGTTCCTGTTCATCTAGTTGTCAATGTCATAACTCAAATAGATCAAAAAATCATTTTTAGTGGCTTGAAATTTGACTGCCTTATGAATACCATGTACAGATTAACAACATCTATGATCTAGCAAGGCATTTAACAGATGGAAAGCAGAAGTTGTTCTGTGAACTAAAGTATTTGTTCGTGGCAAAACTGAGACTATTTAATAAAAATTCTCATTCACAAACCTTATTACACATACTTTATGTCATATGCCACAGTATCAAGTGAAAGGAGGTTTGGGGGAGGAAAGGAGGTGTAGGTTATTGTTCTTTAGGATAACATGGAAGAGTCAGAAAATTTTAATGAAATTTTAATGAATCAGATTAAGTCAAGTGGTGCTAATTACAGGATTGG